GCACGGGGCGCGGGGTCCCCGCAGCCCAGCCAGGTCTCCAGCCGCTCGGCCGGCTTGAAGGGCTTGAACTGGGCCCTTTCCTGCAAGGAGGAAACAGGAATTTCCCCCTGGAATGGGTTTTAATCCTGTGTAAGTGATTAACAGCAGCAGCATTGGGAGGCTTTGGAGCGAGGTGCTCCAAATGCACTCCCACCGAGGAAGGAACCCTTCCCATCGCTGCCACGTTACGGCCCCAGACCGGGCTCATCCCAGCGCCGCTCCCAGGCAYCCCAGGCATCGCTCCCGGCACCCCGCGCTCTTTGGGAACCGTTTCCGCCCTTCCTGGGCACCCTGGCATGGGGAGCCCCGCAGCCCCCGGGCACCCGCCTGGCGCCCTCCCCGTTTCTTCCCTAATCCCTCCCGGAGGGAAGCGCCCGTTTGCAGCCTGCGCCGGGGAAGAGGAGGGAGGAAGGGGGGGGTCCCGCGCCTCGTCCGCGCCGTGTTTGTTTTCCTTTCCCTCCGGAACGCTAGATTAAGACGTGAAGATTACACTTTTATTGTGGCGGCCGAATAATACCCCGAGTCAACACACCCGGCAAACAAAAGTGCTTGTAGTACATGGCCAACCCCGCTGGGAATGGGGCTGCCGAAAAGGGAAAAAAAAGAGAAAGAAAGGGGAAAAAAATGGGGAAAAAAAAGAAAAAAAATCAAGCCCTTCAGTGCTAATTACAAATAAATGATGATGTGCTCACTAAGTAATTGATTTAATGAAGTTCCTATGAAACTATTAAAACCGGGTAGAGGTCAGGCTCGAGGCGCCCCAGAGCGCCCATTGTGGGATGTTTAACTCCGCCAAGCTCCTCGGAAAGACACCGGGGCTAATAGGTGAAGTCACAGCTGTGACTTTTGCAGCGCCGCGGGGGGACTCGCCTCCCCAAACTTGCCCAGTGGCCCCGGAGGGGCCACTGGGCAAGTTTGGGGAGGCGAGTCCCCCAAGTGCCCCCCCCAAGTGTCCCCCCCGTCTTTTGCATCCCACCAGGCCGCTCTTTCCCCCCAACCCGGCCCGCAGCTCCAGCCCCATCCCCTGGGTACTCACGGGCCGCGAGCTCCGCTCCGCTTGCCCAGCGCGCTTCCAAAAGCCACGGGGGGAAGCGGAGCTGGGAACTTGTGTCCTGCTACTCCAGTGCCCCCCCTCTCCCCACTCCCCCCTCCCGCCGCTTCCTTCTTCTGCACTCACTTCTTCGGGAAAACTTAAGCCCCAGTGCCAGGTAGGCGGCTTGGGAGATCTTGGCGAGGTGCCTGGAAGGGGATGAGTGCCCGTTTGGAACTTGAAGGGGATGGGTTTCTTTCTTTTTCTTTTTTTTTTCCCTCTTTCTCTCTTGTTTGAAAGGGCACTAGGAGCGCTTTAGCCGTGTGAAAGCGGCAGGAGCAGGAGGGGGGGCGCAGACATTTAAAAAAAAAAATAGGGCTATTGGGTTTCCCAGCCCCATGCTCGGCCTCTCCCCCCGCCCCCCAAGTCGCCCCCCTGTCGGGGAGGTCAGAGCGGAGCTGCCGGCCCCCCAGCCCCCCCTTCACCTTGCCCGGGACCCTCTTTTCTAAAAGGGGCCGCTTTTTCCCCAGTCTCCCCGTTCTCCTCCTGCCCCGGCGCACGCGGCTCCCAGCTGTGGGGAGATGCGTTTGTGTCCCTACGTCGTCCCCAGATCCCTGCAAGGGACCCGAGGCGCCCACGCGGGAACGGGAGCGCAGCCCCTTCCCCCCGGGACGGCGCGGGCTGGGACGGTGCCTCCTGAGGGTTTTCCGGGAAACTGGGGGAGGGTTTGCGCTATTTTCTTTTCTTTTTTTTTTTTTTTTTTTTTTTTTTTTTCCCTGGAAA